TAAGTACTCGACACTGTTCTGAAGTGCTTTTTGTATTTAATTCTCAAAATAACCCATGAGGTAAGTACAAATGAGGAGACTTACAGTGAAGAAATTCTTACAGATGAGGACACAGAGGCATGAAGAAGTTGAATGGCTAAGCAAAGATAATGTGGGTAGGAAGTAGGAGAGTTGAGAGTTAGAGTCAGGCCGTCTTGTCCTCGAGCCCCTGTTCTTAGCCACCAGTTCTGTCCTGTCTCAGTACTTGTGAGTGTTGCACCTGCAGTCCACAGGACCGATGTGAGACTCAGCTGTATTTCAGAAGAAGATGCAACATCATGTTTACAGAACCTGTTATCTTTAGGCCTCGGGCTCTGGAATCAAAGACAAGACAAGGCCCCAGGGGACCTCATCAGTGAGGAGGGAGTAGCAAGTGGAGGTCCTCCGCTCTCTCCAGTTCATGGAGTATTTCTGGTCTTTCCACCTTGGCCAGCGCTGCCGACCTCTCAGATGAGAGTGTGTAAATGTGAAAGGGAAGAAGGGTGGAGGTTTAAGGAGTGGAATAGAGGAGTTTCCTTGTTTCCAGGTCACCTGGCTGGGGGAACTATTTCTGAGGGGCCATTTTCAATGATCATTTTATGTCAGGAACCCACACAGGTACACATAAAAATATGTAACAGTCACGCAACACGTAACAATGTTTTGGCCAACAAGGGATTACGTATATGATGGTAGTCTCATGAGATTATAATGGAACTGAAACATTTTTATTGCCTGATGACTTTGTAACCATCGTGACATCACAGCATAACACGTTATTCACATATTTCTGGTGATACTTTTGTAAACAAACCTACCAGGCTGCCAGTTGTATAAAAGTTCAGCACATTTGATAACATACAGTATCTAATATTGATCATGACCATAAACGACTATGTTACTGGCTTATGCATTTGCTATCCTGTACTTTTTGTCATTATTTTGGAGTGTGCTCCTGCAGTTGTAAAAGAGTGTAATATAGCCTGAGGCAGGTACTTCAGGAGGTGTCCAGAAGACACTGTTACCATAGGAGATGACAACTCCAAGTGTGTTATTGCCCCTGAAGACCTTCCAGTGGGACACGGTGTGGAGGGTGGAAGACAGTGATATTAACGATTCTGATTTGTGGGCATTGGTGTCTTAGTTTTTAACAGAAAATTTAAAAAGGAAAAAAAGAAATGAAAATTTTAAAAATAGGAAAAGCATGCAGAGTGAAGATATAAAAATATTTTCGTAAGGTTGTACAGTGTGCTTGTATTTTAAACTAAGTGTGCTTACAAGAGTCAAAAAGTGAAAAATATATTAAAAGTTTATAAAGTAAAAAGTTACAGGAGCTAAGGTTAATTTAGTACTGAAGAAAGAAAATAAATTTAGTGTAGCCTGAGCGTGTGATATTTATAAAGCCTGCAGTAGTGTTTGGTAATGGCCTAGGCCTTCACATCCATTCACCACTCATTGACTTACCCAGAGCAGCTTCCAGTCCTACAAGCTCCATTTGTCCTAAGTACCCAAGACAGGTGTACCATTTTTTAAAAACTCTTTTATACCATATCTTTACTGAACCTTTTCTGGGCTTATAGATATTTAGATCACAAATACTTACCATTGTAATGCTACAGTTGCCTGCAGCATTCAGTATAGTCACTGCTGTACAGATTACAGACTAGGGGCCGCAGGCCATATCGCAGAGCCATAGCCCAGAGGCTCTACCATCCAGGTTTGTGTAAGTGCACTCTGTGATTGCACAATGACAAAATGACCTAACAACACATATATTTCTCAGACTGTATCCCTTTTGTTAAACGATGCATAACTGTGTATATATATTTTTAATTTATAGAATAAGTTATTTTTCAGAATGGCTGAAGGGAGACTTTTTAGTGCCATTTACCTCATCATGATTTCAACAAATACTCATCAAATGCTTGTTCTGTGTCAATATGTTGAGATAGGATTATGGAAATAGGGAGTCAAAGGGCTATGACCCCTCCCCCCCCGAGCTTGTAGTCTACTGATAGATGCAGTTCCTGTCCAAATAATGGCATAAACCCAAAGTGCTACTCGGGTGAGTGCTGCAGAGGAAAGGCCCTTGATCCCAAGAGATCAGGGTGGCTGTAGTAGATGAATGAGGGATGCTGGTGTCCTGACCATGCTGGCTCTTGCAGGCCATGCCAAAGAGCTTTGACTGTGGCCTGAGAGTCATGGGATACCATGAAAGTGGGGAGGGTTCATGGAATTTGTGTCACATGATTAGATTTTTTTTCCCTTTGGAAATATAATTGTGGTTACATTGGAAAGAATGAATCGGAGAAGGGATATAGAAGAGTTAGAAGGCAGATGTAGAAATCCAGAAAAAGGGGTCAGGACAGCTGGGGCTAGGGAGGCTTGGGTAGTGAAGAGAAGAAGTGGGGAGGAGGGATGCTACAGGTGTCTGGGAGGGGACAGTCACTACCTGTGGTGGTAGATTGGATGTGGGGAATGAAGGGAAGAGAAGGGATGAGGACAGCTAGAAAGCAGGAGCATGGCAGGCCTGTTCCCTAAGTTGGGGGATGCTGGCAGATAAACCAGTTTGGGGTGGAAGGACATCCCGTGCAGTTTTGCAGTGTTCAGAGGAGATGTCAGATAGGGTGCACTTTGGATTGTGAACATGTGGGTGTCAGTTGGGCCATCGACAGGCCTCGATGGATTGTCCTGGGAAACCAACTATGTGGAAAAAATATAAAAATCTATAATTTTGATTTTTGAATTCAGATGTTTTCACCCTAAACAATAAGAAAAGAATCTAATAATGGTAAAGGAAATTAATAAAAATAAATGTCTTGTATAATCTTTCTGTTTTCATTTTTGTATTCTTCTGCCAGTCTTTCCCCATAAATATTCATTTTTTAATTGTCATTATAATCTACATAGAAGATGTAATAGGACTGTGTTTCCTTCCCATTATCCCAAATATTTTCCCACATTTCTGTATCTCTCTCAAGGCTGCATTTAAAACATGTATAATATTCTATTCATTTGGTAAATCGTAAGTGGTAATTTTCTAAGCAATTTTTCTACTTTTGGATATTTAGTTGATTTTAAGATTTTGTTAATACAGGTAGTACTTTCATAAATATTATGTGTATCGCCTTTTTTTCTCTTTCATTTTTTTTTTCTTAAGGTAAATTCTTGCAAGTGGGATTCACGGGTTAAAGAGTTTGAATAGATTTCTGACTTGTCATATGGGTCAAGGCAAACGTTTTCCAAACCACTGACAGGGCTGTGAGGCGAGACCATAGGGACAGATCTTTGCCCTCCACATGGAAGCCCAGCATGTTTCTTTGAATTCAGTAACCAGTGGTTCTAACCAGATCAGTGAATACTTGAAAGGTCACCGGGGACCTTCCATCACACATCTGCTAATTGCACCAGTTAGTGGCTACAGATCAGTCTAAGGCCACTGAGCTCACCACCTTGCCCTTAGAACCCTGGACTAGCTCCTCCCTTTTCCCAGGCCTTCTGCTTGTAGGATACCACAGCGACTTTAGAACCAGTGGAAGCCCCACAGGGGAACTGATGAAATCCCTAAGGGTTACCTGAACAAGTGAGCCCTCTAAGCCTCAGGCTCCAAGAGACTTGCATGGGTATTGCAGAGGCTGCCTGTGGTTCCCATGGGTTTGGATGGGTGCTCAAGACCATCCGTGACCTGGTCTCCATTTAAGATATTTACTTGCCATTGCTTCTCAAAATAGCACCTCCACTTCACCCAGGCAGGTTGTTCTCTGGCCCAGGAAGAGGCCTCGTGGCCCTCACTCAAGTTGCTTCCTCACCCTCACCTTTGGAAACCTGGCTTCTCTTTTGGACTCGAGGAGTGGCAGTGCCTTTGGTCAGCACATCTGACTTTCCATCCGGCGCTCCTGCTTCAATCTCCTGCACTCCTGCAGGACCCTCCGTCCACATACCAGGATTTAGCATATAATTATATGCTTTCTTTAATGTTTGCTTTTGCAATTTTTATTTCTTGAAGATAACTGTACTCTCCTTGATAGCAGGAGCCATGCCTTCCTTCCCTAGACCCCTCCAAGCCTGGCTTCAGTGCTGAGCCCTTTGCCTGAGCCAAGCCAGTCCTATGTGACCCATTACATCAAAGCGTCTGTGTCCACGATGCAGTGTCAAGCGTCTTAGCCATCCTTTCCTTTTGTATTTTCCACGTAAGTGCTCATATTTAAAACTTGCTGAGGATGTTATTAAAATACTCATGGCTGGAGAATACTCCTGTTCTCTTTTGATCACAATTTGGGGGTTGTAAGATCAAGTTAATGCTGGAAAACTGTAACCTGATCACTTGTTACCTCTGAGTCCTTGATGTCCACTAGAAAGGGCAGGGTGACTGGTTAGGAGGACCTGTCAGGGGTTAAGGAGCAGTAGGAGGCACCGGAATATCTGTCTGGCCCTCAAGGAGGCTGGTGTTTTTGGCCTGGGAGAACAGTGCTTGTATTGTAGTGAAATGACATGTTCTGCTATTGTGTTTCTTGAAAAATTGGTCCCAATGGTACACCTCTCTTTTTACCTCTCACTTTAAATTCTGAGCGCATCAGTGTTCGGATTGTTAGGAGTCTTCAGGGGGACCCACCCCCAGTTTAGCCTGGAAGTTGGAGCTTTCCTTGTTCTCTAGAGATGGCCTGGCACGAGAGGGACTGTGGCTGGATATCGGGAGCCTTCAGGCTGGGCTGGGTCTCTGCCACCCACTGTCCAGCTCTGCGTAAGCTCAGACCTCGGCCTACTCTTTTGTAAAATGACATACCTGAGCTAGATGATCTCTAGGCCCTTCTGCAACTGAGATTAAAACCAAAATAATTGAAGCTGTCTTCAGAGGGTAAGCTTGAGTGCATTTTTAACTCAAAGGAGAAATAGGCTCATTGACACATTTAATGACATGTGTTAGTATGTGTTAGAACTTTACACTTAAACTTGCATTTCTTTCTTTCTTTTTTTTTTTCTAGCCAAACATCATGTCAATGGCAACAGAACAGTCGAACCTTTCCCAGAGGGAACACAGATGGCTATATTTGGTAAGATATCAACTCTGAAAGAAAACCCAAATTGTGTGCGCAGATGAGTGCCAAATTTCTTAGTTTTAGCAAGTGTCCTCAGGGCTTCAAAATCTGGGCTCTTCTAGATATTTACAAGTTGTTACAGCCAAGAAAACCTTTGAGTTCCTAGTAATTTCTGAGATTGGAAAAGCTTATTCTATAGAATTTAGTGTGCTTTATTTTCTCACATCGACAACCAAGTATCAAACTATTTGCTATTTCTTATGTCCACATTATGAATTAACCTGCTAATTTAGGGGTTGAGTTTTTCTTTGCTAGCAGGGATTTTTTTTTTTCCCACATGGATATATCAGTTTGTTAAAGGCTGGGATTTAAGTAGTTTTGACTTGTTATTCCCCAAAAATCGATCTAATTGAATGATCTATTTCTTCCCCATCATGAATTAAGCATGCTCCTTAAGAGAAAACATTGATTAAACATGTTTTCAGCGAAGTCCAGTCCCTGAGTGGTATACTTAAAATGTACGATTATGTGGCCGGGCAGAACTTCTCTGTTAAAATTTCAAACTGTTGGGTCAAGAGGTCCTCTTTAATCCGTGTTTCCCTCCCTCCGTTTCTTGTGTCATCTACACCTCCTTTAGAATGTCTCTGCACATGGCCCTTTCTTTGCCTGCCTTCTTTTCTCTGTTCCTTTCCTTCCTTACCTCCCCTTTTTGTGGGCCTCCCTCCCACTTCCCCTCCCCTTCTCTCTAGCAAATCTCTGGGGTTCATCCCTGTTGTTACCCACTGAAAACGATGACCTCTCTCCTCTGGAATTTTAACTGGACATTCAGCGCCTCGCCTGGTTCCTTCCCCTCCACCTTTAGATGATTCTGTGATGACTCTCATCCTAAAAACATGAGGTCCCTTGATTTCATGCCTCCTGTATCTTCTCTCCTACTTCGGTCTTGATGGCTGTCTCCTCTGAAGGTACAAAACTGCTCTGAAGCCTTGAAGTGCGCTTGAACTGGAAATCAGCCTCAGAACAACCTGGTCTGTGAATGAGCACATTCAAGATAGATTGTACCCTTATTCCCAGAGATGGACCCGGAATTAGGCATCAGTGAGGATTAGCAGTTGGAGAGTTATAAACAGGGTCCCAGTTCTACCTCAGTGTTGGTAAATCATGCTCTGTGCAGGCTATCACCTTTTAAGATAGAGTCATTGGTGATTAGAAATCATTATGCTCAGAAATTTAAATGGAGAAGTTGATTTTGTAGAAGAGGGCCTCACAGACTCTCTAATAGAAACATGTGCTAAAATGTTTGATTTGCTAACCCTCCTGTCCCAGCATGGTGTCTGTTATTATGGGACAAAAAATGTCACATAAATCAATGTTCATAGGGTTCTTTTGATTATTTATTTATTTCTTTTCCGGTCTCTCAAAATTTGCCAACCCCAGGCATATGAGAAACTAGGTCTTATGTCACATTGGGAAATAGTAAATGACACTAACTCCTTTTAGTGGGGTTCTCTCTGTTGTGATATTGGAGTAAAACTTCTTTCTTGAAGGGCAGACCCAGTATCAGATGGGCTGATGACATTGTTTGACTACAGAATGGGAAATATCAGGAAATAAGGCTCTATGGCAAGCCTTTTTTTTTTTTTTTTTTTAAAGCCAGGGTTGGGGGCGAATGGGTTTGATTTATAGTGCGTTATTAAACATCCTTACCCAAGGCCTTCATTGTTTGACTTTAGACAAGTAACTTCTCCTCTCTAAGCCTTGAGTTTTTGATGCCTCCATTTTCTGAGAGCTGACGGGTGAGCTCTAAGACCTCTGCAATCTAGGCCCTTGGCTTTTACCTCTTACATATTCAGGACTGAAGACTCTTGGAGCAGGAGGCAGCCCCTGGGAGGCCCGCTGTGCATGGCCAGCATGTGTGGTTTTAAAAGAGATGAATCATGTGCATAATTTCTATAAGTTAACAACATGTAAGAGGCAGAATTATACAGATCGTAAAATAGAATACATTTGACATCTAAGAATTCCTACTTTAGAAGTGCAGTTTAGCTCTTCCAGATGCTTAAATTAAGGCCCTATTTTGGTTAAGTATATGCAAGCATTTCATATTAATGTCTTCAAAATGATTCTCACTTTCTCACTTTCTATGACTTGTCCACCTGGCCTAGAGGGGAGTGATGAGTTTTGCAGCCTTTGAGGACAGGCTTCTGCCATTCTGGGTTGTTTACCACTGCATTGGAAAGGTCAACTCAGCACAGTGCCTGACTCTGGAGTACGTTGGGCATTTCACCCTGCCAGCCCCTTGCAAAGCTGATGGACTCACATAGTTCTCTTCCTAGCAAGCCCATGTGACTTATCCAGAGCCACTTGGCCAAGGAGGTGGTTGGTGGAGCTAGAGTTTGAACCCAAATCTAATTGACCCTGAATCCATGTTCTCGTCATGATGTTCCCAGACTCTCTCTGCACTGGTTCAAGGAGCCCTGGGAAGGCCTGATAGATTCAGAGGCACCTTTCAGCTGGATCCATGCACAAAAGCATGATTTCCAGCCAAACCCATTTAGCAAATCGATTTGTATGCTTGCATGCCTTCCTAGAAGGAGTCTTGAGAAGCAGCCTTTGCTGGGAGCGTACTGGTTGGAGCAACATCTCCTACTACTATCATGCTTTTCCATTTGACCGTAGTAGCATGTATTAATGCACAGGAGAATGTCTTAGATTCACTTGACTGTGAGTTTGCCAAAACAGTGATGGCACTTGTACTTGTTCAAACCCATTCTTCAGCCTTGGAAGTCTTCATATTTTGTGATAAAATAGTATCGCCAATTACAATGTCATTTTTTCTTTTTATTTTTCTTTCTTTTTTTTTTTTTTTGAGATGGTGTCCCACTCTGTTGCCCAGGCTAGAGTACAGTGGCGCAATCTCAGCTCACTGCAACCTCCACCTCCTGAGTTCAAGCTATTCTTCTGCCTCAGCCTCGCAAGTAGCTGAGATTACAGGTGTGCATCACCATGCCCATCTAATTGTTTTTCTTTCTTTTTTTTTTTTTTTTTTTTTTGTATTTTTAGTTTCTCCATGTTGGCCAGACTGGTCTCAAACTCCTGACCTCAAGTGATCCACCTGCTTTGGCCTCCCAGAGTGCTAGGATTACAGGCATGAGCCATCGCCTCTGGCCACAGTGTCATTATCTATTGATTAACCAGTTGAATATACCTTACCTGTAGAATGCTAACTAAATAAGAACTTTAAAATTTAATCCGCTCTGCAAATGACCATTGAACTACCATGAAGCTTTTAGATTAGAATGTGAAATGTGAGGAAGGACAGCTGGAGTGTGAGATAAAGGGATTCCAGTGTGAAAATTGCATGAATGGGTCATATCAAGGGATCAGAGAATAGATAGATGATTCCTTAAAAACTGTTGCTGGCCTACAGTCTTTGCAGGTTTTCTTTTGTAGTCCAACAGTTTTTCTCCTGGTCTTGTTTTTCTGCCCTCGCCATTCTTAGGCTCCTCTGTGGCTCTCCCTCTCCCCTCCCTTTTTGGACAATGAGAACGAAGGTAATAGGCTCGGTCCTTCTGGGAGGCTTCTCCTGCCTGTGTGTGGTGCTCTCTTTCAAGTCAGTGGGAGCCCTTTGCTTGCAAGCTGGAAAAGTGGAGCCATACATTCGCAATTACTTCCTGTCTTTGTTCATGGTGGGGGTGTGTGCCCTCTGGCTCTCAGCCCTTTGATCCTGAGAGCGCCCGCCCTGTGTAGTGGGCATTACTGTGTTCCTTTATGGGCAGACAAACTGAGGCACCCAGAGATTAAAGAAACATGGCCAAGGCTTCCTCAGGTATGAGAACATCTTTTGCTGTGCCTATCTCAGAAAGGTTTTTTCTGGCTGTCAATATCTTAATGAAAGTGACAGTCAGTTGGCTGTGGGCCACTCGGTCCACGCGGAGGGCCAGGCTCCAGCCTCTGCAGAGGTGGTTCTGGCACAGAGCAGCTACTCATTGCCTTAAAAATACTCTAGAGTCAAGAAAATGGGTCATTTCACAAGATAATCAAAGCTTACTAATTGAAAAGGCTGGAAAATGGATGGCAGGGATTCCAAGCATAATTTGTGAAGATTTTTGGTACAATTAAAAAGTATTTTATATAAAAAATTAACCAAGCATGGTGGCACCCACCTGTAATCCTAGCTACTTGGGAGGTTGAGGCTGGAGAATCAGTTGAACCTGGGAGGCAGAGGTTGCAGTGAGCCAAGATCGCACTACTGCACTCCAGCCTGGGTGAGAGAGTGAGACTGTCTCAGAAAAAAATTTAAACTTTACTATCTTTGAACATAAAAATTTGTCACCCAAACTAGGATATGTTTGAGAGTGAAGAGGGTGCTATGAACAATTCTATTGAAATAATGAGTGATAAACCTGGAAGGTTTTAGGCAACCAGGATATAATGTCCCCTGTAGCAAGGTCGTATATTATAAAATATTGCACCAAGAATAATAAAGACACACTGAGTTATGTAAAAATGGAAAAATAATGAACTTGGATAGACAAAATAAAGTGAACAAATGAAAAAAATTGCAATACCATAGATTGGATTGTTTATAATATCACATCCATACTAGTAGTTATGATAGTTCAATAAGAGTAAGGGAATTGATCTGATTATACACTTACAGTTTTACTATTATACTAATACTTTCCAGGTATGCAGGGTTATGAATGCTCCATCACTTGAGGTATTAAGATGGTAGAATGGTCCTCCCTAATGAGTTTGGAAGTGGGGCTGTGTAGCCTTTTAAGACCCTTTCTTCTCAATTACTGAGAACTGACTTTGTTTCAGAACACTGAAACATGAAAAAATTCTGCTAACTCAAAATTCTTTGACCCCATCATTATTTATGTTTTAATTCAAAATTTCTGTGGGTACATAGAAGGTATATATATGTATGGGGCATGTGAGATGTTTCAATACAGGCATGCAATGTGTAATAATCACGTCATGGAAATGGGCTATCCATCACCTCAAGC